AGGTCCCAGAGGGTGGGGACCTGGGACAGGGGGGCGGGGAGCATGTAGGGCTGCAGGTCCCAGAGGGTGGGGACCTGGGACAGGGGAGGACATGAGGGGAGCATGTAGGGCTGCAGGTCCCAGAGGGTGGGGACCTGGGACGGGGGAGGACATGAGGGGAGCATGTAGGGCTACAGGTCCCAGAGGGTGGGGACTCGGGACGGGGGAGGGGGGRCGTGAGGGGCCAGCGTTCCTGCCGCTGGATGCTGCCAAGCCAAGGCCCCAGGACCAGGCCTGACACCAAGAGAGCTGGGTGTCCACCACGAGGCTTCTGTCTTGTGGGGAGGGAGGGAGGGCGCAGGGCGGGAGCTGCAGAAATAGCGGGGCCACGCTGCAGCCWGCCTGAGGCCACCCCCCACCGGACCACCCTCCACCACCAAGGCCCAAGAAGCACCCGACGTCTCCAGGGGGGGTGGAGAGACCACAGCACACGGAAGGGCCTAGAGGAGCAGGAGGGCATGGCTCCGTCTCCTGTCTGCACACCCCCCTTGCTTCTCATCTCAGTGGCCACCAAGACCCATGTCCTCAGGCAGGACGTCCACAGGCAGGAACACAGAGCTCCTGATGCCCCACAGGATGCTCAGCCAGGAGGAGTCCGGAAGCGAGCCGTGGCCTTGGACCACAGCGCCCCCAGGAGGTCACAGCAGTGGCTGCAGTCAGAGCCACCTAGAGAGGTGCCCACCTCGAGATCCTCACGCTGCCCCATCCAACAGCAGCTGAGCCACCCACAGGTCATCGTCAGAAGGGGAGAGAGATGGGCTGGGGTATGGCTCAAGCGGTAATGCGCTCGGCTGGCATGTGCGGGGCACTGGGCTCGATCCTCGGYACCACATAAAAATAAATATTAAAAAAATTCTCTCTCTTTAAAACAAACAAACAAACAAAAGAAGGGGAGAGATGACAACCAATGGACATGTGGTGCCACGGAGCTCCTGGAGGGCAGCCACAGCCTCAGGCTCACGGCCAAAGTCCACACACGCCCAGGAAGCAGAAGGCAAGCCAGCCGAGGCAGCGCTCTGGAACAACCCAGCAAAAGACGCTCCCTGCAAAGGGGCAGAACCGGAGCTGGCGAGGCCAGCAGGCAAGGCGGAGGCRAGGGTGCCACTCCTGCAGGGCCAGKGCCCGAGGCAGCGCCCACTGCACTCACTCCCAGAAGGCCCTGCTCCACAGCAGGCACAGGATGAGGAGGGACRGGCAACAGTGGACCCAGAGGGAGAGGCCCAACACTTCGGTGCTGTGGTGACTGTGCCTCCGCGTCTTTTCTGATGCTGTGATGAGAGCGAAGAGTAGAGAATGGCTGCCCCAACCACGCACAAAAATCAGCGGCACCAGACCCAGGTACAGAAGAGGGTGGAAACAGCAGCTGCCCAGAATATAGGCACATTCTCTGCAGAACAGTCTCAGGCACGAAGGGGACTTTGTGAGAACTAAAAGCCACCCGCCAACATCCTCCTGGAGGTGATAGTGGGAGGCACACACCCGGGGGAGTGRCTCCCAGAATGCACTGCAGAGCAAGGGCCGGCCCCAGGAGAAGCAGAGCAGGGCTGGCAGGTGCCCTGTGCAGAAGACCCCCCAGCCGGCCAGACAGGGAGCTCGGTTCCAGCACCAGGACACACTGGACGTGACCCTCACGACAGCTCTGCACGCCTGCAGCAGCAGCACGTGGCCATCAGGAAACTCATGGCAACATCAGTACGACTGGACGATGCGCCAGCACTCTCTCCTCCGGAACTCACCCACCCAGAAAGCTCTGTCCAGCCAAGCACCACAGGGCATCCACAGCAGTGCTGCCCACAACAGTCCAGCGAGAAGCCACCCAGACGCCCACCCGCAGCAGAAGGGATGCCCCCAAGCAGCGTGTGCCCAGACTGCTGCCCACACAAAGACACGCAGCTTGCTTGGCCAGTCTCAGGCACGCTGGGAGCTAGAGGCCAGGTGACAGGTCATCACTGTGACAGGTCTGACAGAGCCCACGTGACAGGTCATCACTGTGGGGCCTTGGGCTCCCAGGCACCGTGACACTGAAGTCCCCCCACACGGGGTCCAGGAGTGTGCACGGAAGATTGGCCAACACTTGCCTGTCTTGTCTCAACGGCAAAGCAAGGGAAGCAGCGTGCGCCTCTCCAAGCCCAGTCCCCGATCTGTCCAGGCCCGCCAGTGGCTGGAGGAAAGGACCCTGGATGTCTATCACCAAATCTACCCGTGAGCCTGAGTGCAGTGGCAGAGGTGCTCCAGGCAAGGGAAGCCCCACTCGGCACCCAGAGGAGGGAGGCCGGTGCCCCGCGTGCTCTGGCCGCAGACACACGTGCTACGGACGTGCACCAGCTCACCCACAGCACAGCAAGCACACCAGATACCGGTGCCGACAGGCCTGGGTGCTGAGCGTGCTCAGCCAGGGACACCCCGCAGCGGCCTTACATGTGTCYTGAAAGACTTTCGGACGCGCCCGTGGGCGGCTCTCTGCACCACGGCGTAGCGGCGGACGCAGTACGTGTTCTCCGGGGGCCTGAGGATGCTGGCGATCACCTCCACGAGTCGGTCCTGGGGGATGGTGTCGTACGCCCCAGTCACATCTGCCTGCAGGATGCACACGAGCCCTCAGAGCCTCAGCCCCACAGGCCCAGGGGCCCCTGCAGGCCCTGCCCAGAGCCTGGGCCCCAACCACCCACAGCGCCCCCTGCAGGGAGTGGGCACAGGAAGGCTGGAGACACACCATGACCATCCAACCCTGGTCAGAGGCCCAGCTAGGTTCAGGAGGGAGCCAGCCTGTGTCCTCTAAGCCCCCACCAACCTAGACTGAGGCCCCCAGGGAGGCCAGCCTGCGTCCTCTAAGACCCTCCACCCCAGGGAGGCCAGCCTGCGTCCTCTAAGACCCTCCACCCCAGGGCAGAGGCCCAGCTAGGTTCAGGAGGGAGCCAGCCTGTGTCCTCTAAGCCCCCACCAACCTAGAATGAGGCCCCCAGGGAGGCCAGCCTGCGTCCTCTAAGACCCTCCACCCCAGGGAGGCCAGCCTGCGTCCTCTAAGACCCTCCACCCCAGGGAGGCCAGCCTGTGTCCTCTAAGACCCTCCACCCCAGGGAGCCAGCCTGCACCCGTCCCTTGGGGCCACAGGACCCATGAACACGCACAGGGCTCCCAAGCCCGGGGGTCTGAGCCAGGTTCAGCTCCTTCTCTGAAGAGGAACCGACATCTGGTGGGATGCTCCTAAGAGTGGGACCCAGGACTTGGGGTGCTGAGTCCAGGGAGCCCACACAGGCTCAAAGCTCTGTCCCGAGTTGGTGTCCCCAGGAGAAGGCACTCGGGTTCCCATCTCCCAAGAGAGTCAGAGGACACACCTCTAGGGCCCAGTTATCGGGGTGAGGTAGGCTACCACTCCCCACAATGGGCTGGGCTGACGGGGTGTCCGGGAGTCCATGCTCGGCACAGGCCCCAGCACCCAGGTGGATCTGAACGACAGGGGGTGTGGTGGGCGGGGCAGGTGCCCACCTTGACAAAGTACAGCCGGGGCGCCGGGTCCTGAGCCCGCACACGCAGCACGAAGGCCCTCCAGACCTTGTAGATGTCGTCCATGCCCAGCACAGAGGCCCCCAGGAGGCCAGGTCGCTGGGCCCGCTCGTAATTAAGCACGCTGAACAAGGTCTTCATGTGCAGAGTGAACTGCTGGGCCTGGGACACAGAGGGCATGGTGTTGGGAAGGCACAGGGTCCAGCCCTCTGTGAGGCACCCAAGGCAGAGTGGGGATCTGAGGGGACCCAGGGGCATCCGAGCAGCTGCTCCTGGCTTCATCCCCAGCCTCACCTGACCCTGCCACCTGGCCCACCCCCCCACCACAGCCAGGGGTACACCACCCACCACGCACCGGAGGGCCACCAGAGCTGGGGTCAGGCTTGGGACCATCGTCACCCACACAGACCAAACCAGTTCCCGACCCACAAAGTGAGGGGAGGCCAGGAGCCACAGGTCAGGGAGGCCAGGAGGCACCGGGTCAGGGGAGGGGAGGCAGGAGCCGCAGGGTCAGGAGCTGTGGGGAGGGCCTGCTGTCCTGGGGTCTGGCTGGCGGTCCCTCCTGCTCCCCACACGGGAAGGACAGCACTGCTGCCCACGAGAGGAGTCCACGGGCACCTAGAAAGCCTGAGTGTCTCATGCCCTGAGCAGCTGCCCAGAGGCCCTCGAGCTGGTGTCCCATCCGCCCGGACCTGTCCACACTGACTTCCTAGACCTGGGAACGATGGCCCTTGTCCACCTCACTCTGCCCACTGTGGCTCAACACACACTGGGACCCTCGTCTAAGTTCGCACTGACCAGGGGCTGGGCGAGGCGACGCGACACAGGGTTACCTTCTTCTCCCTGCGGAGCGGTCTGGTACCCACGACGCAGTCCATGCTCACGATGGGCCGCAGCCCGTTGGGCTTAGGGACGAAGCGGAGTCTGGACGTGGGCAGGGCGGGCCGGGCGCCCTGGTGCTGCCTGACCTCGGCTTCCGACAGCTGCCGCAGCTGCACACGCTCCAGGAGTTGCCTGCGACAGAGCCTCTTGGAGCCACAGGACCCCACACAGCAGGTGCGCTGCCAGGACACTCAACGCCCGGCTCACGCTGCAGGTCTGTGCAGGGCCATGGCGACCACGCTGACCACAGAGCCCTCAAGAGCAGGTGCTTGACCCCAGCCCCACAGTCAGCCCAAGATGTTCAAACACAGCCAACATCCAGCACCACCTTGCGGCCCCCAGCTGGCCAAGCATCTCTGCAGCCTGCTGCTGCTCCCTCCTGACACCCCGGGCTGGGCGTGGGTGCCAAGGGTCCCATGGGTCTGAGCATGCAGATGTGCTCAGCAGCCCTGACGCGGGTGCTGACAGTGCCCACCACTATGGTGGCCTTGGAAGAGCCAACAACACAGTCGGGGGCCCTGCAGCCCCCATCCCTCACCCTGCACAGGCAGCTCTGCCTGCCGCAGCCCTGCGAACCTGGATGGGAAATGCAGCCGACACACAATCCAGATGCTCAGAGGCCAAGCCCGCCAGCGGTCCGCCAAGGAGCCCCTCCCGACACTTCCCAAGGGGTGGGCAGGGAGCAGCAGTGTGCCTTAGAGAGTCCGACCCACAGGCAGCAGTCGGTTGATGCTCTCCCGCCCACCACTCTTCTCCGAAGCAGGGTGGCTATGATGGTGGGACCCAGGCAGCTGGTGTGTAGTCCAGGGCCCCACGGGCCAGGACAATGGGGCCCCTCCCAGACCACAGGACTCTGTGAATGGACAAGCTGCAGGTGCCTCACACAAGCTGGGATCAGCACCTCCGTTCATGCCGACATCGRCAAACAGAGCACGGACGATACCTGACCCCCACGCTCTGCAGCCTGCGCCAGRTGCTCTGGCGGTAGAAGAGGAGCCTGTTCTTCTGGAACGTGGTCTCTGTGACATAGAAGAAGGACCTCAGCAGCCCCACCACGTAGGTGTCCACCAGCCAGAACAGGAACTTGGCCAGGATCTGTGCCCTCAGACGGTGCTCCGCTGCAGGCACACAGTGGGYACCTGCAACAAGAGGGCTGCTGAACCCCACCCCGTCCCCACAACCCACAGCTGCACCCCAGACCCACGTGGCAGCCACAGTCCACCAGAAATGGCACCCATCCCCGTGATGCCCACGGATGGCACTGAGAGGACACACTGGGCTSGGGTAGACGTGCTCTCTGCTCCCTGAGCGTGGCTGCTGGAGAGCTTAAAGCCACACCTGTGGCTCAGGCAGCTTCCTCCTCTGTGTGTGAGCAGAGCGGAGAAGGCGTGCGCTCTCTGTCCCCACACTGGTCCACACGATTCCAAACCCGTCACTGGGAAGCAAGATCCAGAACCCTGAGGTGGGTCTGCAGGCTGCACAGCCAAGCCACCACCAGCCAAGGGACTCCGACCCCAGCCAAGGGACTCCCACCCCAGGCTCCAACACGCACAGTGAGCCTGGGGCGCCCTGGGCCCCCTGCGTTCTCTTCTGTGCATGTGAGAAGCAGCCACAGGCATCTTCAGAGGCCAGACAGAGCCGGGCTGACCACCAACAGTGGACAGGAAAGGCACTGCAGAGAAGCAGCAGGAACCCAGAAGGCAGGCCAGGACAAGACGGCACGGGTCAAAGAAAGAGGAGGAGAGCAGTGGGTCCCTGGCAAAGCAGACGGCCTGGGGACAAAGAGGAGGAGAGCAGTGGGTCCCTGGCAAAGCAG